CTATTACAACAATAAACAACATACAATGCACAACATCACAAGGTTACTAAAGTTAAAGTTGTAACACATGACTAAAGCCATAACCAATAAACCTCCCACATATATATGTAAACCGAAACTCTTGTTCAAAAAATTTTTGGTATAAACCCCTTAATTTCCTCATTCCCCAAGAGATATCCAGATAATCTACTATGACATACATTATAGCCCTTCCCACATCCCTAGGCACTCCCCTTACATCTAAGAGTAAAGCCCTGAAAAGTGGCAAACGTCCCCCCAACAATCTGATAACCCCACCCATCCATGATCTCACCCCCTCCAAGGAGGGACAAAAGAAGAAACCCCACCCATCCATGATCTCACCCCCTCCAAGGAGGGACAAAAGAAGACCACATGAAACGCCGTTTCAACATCATCACAAAACTGACAGAAAGCCTCTTCCACCAACCCCATACATCTTAACACCTCCTTGGAGGCCAGAACACCCATGATGAAACGATACACTAATTCTCTTACCCTAGCCGGTATCCTAAGCTTACTAAAATCCTTCCAAATAACCCCCCAATCATATGTTGGATACACGGCTACCCCTTGCATAATTCCCTGACCTCCCACTACTCTCACCAACCTTTTCACTTTGATGTTATCCACCTGTTGCACTGTCAATAAAAATCTTAACATATCTTCACAAACCCGCAGGTCCTTGCCACTCCACCATTTACGTGACTCCTCCATAACTCTTCCGTCATAACTACCTCCTTACTTAACCATGCCCTCCCAAATCCCCACACAAACTTTAGCACCCTCCTCTGCATTTCCACAATGTCCTGTACTTCTAAGGGAAAAACCTCTACCCCCCCCCATACCTTGCAATATTATTATTATTATAATCAAGGGGGAAACGCTAAACCCGGAGGATCATACAGCACCTGGGGGGGGATGTGGAAGGCATTCAGGCTTAATTCGGGGAACTGGAGCACAGATTCAATTCCCTAAATCAAGAGCCCCTCACCAACATCAAGGAACCTTCCTTGAGGGGCATACCTTGCAATAGACAGGTGAATTTACCACCACTACCCTCTGATGTAAAGCTAGGTCCCTCGCATTTAAACCTCCCAGTCTACCTAATGCCTTACCCATGACAGACTCCGAATTTACCCTTCTGCAAGCCTGCACCCCCTCCATATACCATATTCCACATACCCTGATTCCATCCTAACCCCAACCCCAAGCCCCCCCTATCCAATTACCCACCTCTAGTAACCTTGATTTCACTGTATTAACTCGCATCCCGTATTCATACCAAACATCTGAATACTCTACCCCCCCTCCTTAGCCCCTCCTTATCCATAGCAAAACAGTAGTATCATCCACATCCCCAATGATGCCCCTTTGCATCCCCCTCCATCTCCTGTTCGTCCACACCCGCTCAACAACTCATAGAAAAGCATTCTGCACACACGCAAAAAGCAGCTGCGATAGCGGGGCAACCCTGCCTTAAAACCTCTCTCCATCGGAAAACTTTCACCCACCTTACATTGACCTGTACCCTCACCTCCGCCTCAGCATAAGGTGTTCACCCCCCTCACTACCCAGTCCTGAACCCAAAACCCCTCTAAACAAACCCATAAGAAATCTTGTCCACACAATTTAATGTGTTCTCCCAATCTAAGCCCAGTATTCCCTGTCCGTAAAACTCTCTAGAAAATCCCCAATTAAATCATGTCCATCCCTCATCTTCCCCGGAATCCCCAACTGCCCCTATGTAACACTAAACCCCAAAAACCTTTCCTCATTTGTTGCCTAAAATCTTAGCAAAAAACTTGTAATCCCAGCACATTACGTAATCGCACGGTAATCATTCAAAACTCGGCATTCCTTCTTTTTGGGCACTAAAACCGTGACACCCGTTCTTTGCGATTTTCCCATCCTCCCACTACTTAACATACATTTCAAAACCCCCACCAGACAATGCCGTACACTCCGCCAATGACACCTTTAAAAATCGTTTGGTATGCCATCTATCCCAGGGGTTTTACCCTGGCACAGCCCAAAAACTGCCTCCTCCACCTCCTCTACACTAACACTATTCTCGAGTCTGTCACTGTCCTGCTCACTTATAACCCTATTAAACCCCTCATCCCCAAAACGTCCTTCACCCACTCCCATGCCAACCCTCCTCCATTTCTCCCTAAACCAGAAATCAGCATACAAACTAATATGTTCCGTGGTGGATAGGCCTTGACCCTCCTCAAATCCACCCCCCTCTGTTCCTGCCCTTGTATACACCAAGGTGGTTTTCGTCTGCCTTTCCTTAAACTTCCTGAGTACAAATCCCGATGGCCTATCCCCCCTTAAAACATCCTCCAACCCCACCCTAACTCTAATTGCCTCAAACTTTTCATTATGGATTTCTGCCAACCTATTTTGCAAACGTTCCATGTCCTCACTCTGCCCCACCCGTTCCTCTGCATAACAGTCATTTAACTGACCTTCAAGATAATTTTGTAGAACATAGCTCCACCTCGCCATCTCCTTACCCCATACTTTAAAAAAAATCGCGATTCCAACTTTAGCTCTCATTTCCCACCAATCCAGCAAATCCATCTCCCTATTCCTAGTCTCCCAAAAGGATTTCCACCAATCCTCAAATCCTGTAGTGGCACCCTCGTCCATAAGGAGCCTCACATTCAATTTCCAGTATCCAGTATAAACTCACACTATACCATCTACCCTCAAATCTGCTATAACAGCATGATGATCAGAAAAACCCACATCTATAGACCTCACCCTCTCCACACCTATTCCGTGCCTAACTTAAATCCTATCTAACCATGCCTCATATCCCCTACGAATAAAAGTGTGCTCCACTCCATATCCCCTACTCCCCACCACATCTACCACTCCAACATCCCGCAAAACGTCTCTCAGAACCCCCAAAACACAACCCGCCCCCCTCGGAACCACATCCCCATTCCTAATTACACAATTCCAATCCCTGCCAAGCACCAAAACAGCCGGTAAACCTCTCAAATGATACACCAAGACATCGCATACAGAATCCACCTTCACCCTAGCATTACTAGTTGCTGGCATGTACACACCTACAAAAGAAACCCTCCCGGCCCCCCAAAACCCATCCACCCTGACAACCCTCTCACCTCCCTCCTCCCAACCCAGGATACGCAAGGGACTGGTCTCCTTTACTGCCACAGCCACACCTCCTTTCAACCTCAAAGCATCACTGGTAAATAACCTATAACCTTTCAAAACCAACTCACATCCTAACCTATGGTTATGTTCCTGCAAAAAACAGACATCAATACTAAATCTCCTTAAAAACCACTCTAACCATACCCTCTTGACCACGGTCTTAAGACTGTTTACATTGAAAGTTACACACCTGAAATTACAAGAATGGCGGCTTACCCCTATGCCGCTGAGGCTTACTTGATCCTCCTTTCATAGGTCTCGGTCCATCTCTAGCAATCCCTCGTTCCTGCCCTCCAACCCCTTCCTGTCCCTTCCCGCCGATCTTCCCATTGCTCCCCCCCCCCCTCCCGGTCTCGCCGTTTCCACCACAGCTGCCCAAACCTTTTTCCCAGGCCGCTGTGCTGGTGTGAGGACCTCATCCATGTCTGATGCCCCGGCTGATATCTTGCGGGAGCTACCCTCTACACACATATCTTCTTCAATCACATCTTCTTGATGGTCCTCCACCACCACATTGCTCTCCATCCTAACCTCACTCAAGTCTTCCTTACCCCGTTTCTGTTCTTCCATCACCTTGACATCACCTAACCTCTCGCCGCCTTCCACACCATGCTCCGACTCTTCCAAAAAATCCTTCAGCACAGCCTCCAAAATCCTGTCCTGAGCTGAATCTGTAGTACCTAACGGTCTGTCTGACAGCATTATTCCCCCTCCCGTTTCCTCTGGTAGTGTAACACACGTCTCCAAAGCCATCTCTGCTCTCTCAACCTCCTCACTCCAAAGGCCCTTTCCCCGGCCTTCCACATCACCCGTCATAACGTTCCAGAAGCTTTTTCTGGAACCCTAGGGCCTTGTCTCCTAGGGCATTGTGCCGCCATGTGCTCATAAGAGTCACATAAACGGCACGTCCTCTGCTGCCCCGCATGGTGTACAAAGACCTGAGTTCTATAACCATGCAATGTGACGTACAATGGTATCGGCCTCCTCAGGGTCATTTTCAGTGTGAAGGATCCTTCCGGTAGCCCCTCGTAGGGGCCGTCCCTCCACATTTCCATGCTCGCCGAGTGTACAGTCCCATAACCACTGAACACATCCTGTAGGCTGTATGCTGTCACTTCAAAAAGTACATTCCGCACTTTCACCCAAGTAAAATACTTAGAAACATCATGCAAGCATACTTCCACTGCCGAATTGATGCTCATCCTCCTTTCTTGAAATTCGTCGACGATGCTGGAGTAGAAGTCGGCCCTGATGAACTTCACGAAGACCCTTAACATACCATTCAACGCCACACCGTACAACTCTTCGTTGGGGTTGCCATAAACGTCCCTGAGAATGCTTGGCAGGAGAACGTTTATCGTGGTGCTGCTTAAAGATTCCCTGACCAGCTCGATGCAGACAGTTATGCGCCGGCTCATTCGGTCCGCCATCTTGGTGCTAATGCTGTGTTTTCCTCACCAGGTGGCGTGCAAGAGAAACTGTAGAAGCGTCCTCTCTCCCCGCAGGTCGAGAGACGAATGTGCTTGCCTTATTTGGCAAGAAGAGCGTTGCTATTTAAGCAAAAATAGCAAGTTTTACCTATTCGCCACGACATATATATTATGTCTATATTTATTACTAATATTACTATGTGTACAGGAAGAGCTTAATCTACATGGGTTCTATATTATGAATGTGGAGCTTCACATAAAACGAATAGTTTCTACGATCTGAATCTTGAAGAAACAAATGATATGCTTCTTTCTCAGGTCTCAGTCTGAAGCAGCACCCTGATACATTACACTTACCGAGGTTGTCAAACTTCTTGTAGGTGTCGTAGGTGATGTTGACGGTGAGATCGAAGCACACACCATGGATCGTCTGGTAGCCAGCCTTCTCGATCATACAGTTTATTGTGTCGTCGACCATGACAGTCTCTGAGGTGAAGTACACACCCCCCACCAGCCTCACTACCGGCGATGATCTGACAAGCACAATAATAATAATAATAATAATAATAATAATAATAATAATAATAATAATAATAATAATAATAATAATAATAATAATAATAATACTGTAGATAAACGGTTCAGAGAACCAACAAGTTGGGTATCTTAAATGAGGAAACGTTTCGCCACACAGTGGCTTCATCAGTCCATACAAAGGAAAATGGTGAAGAACAAGAGGAGTTTGAGATAATTAGTCCCTCTGCCTTGAGTCGATGTAATCAGTCCATCAGTCTTGAAAAGGATACAGCATATGTGCGAAGAAGTGGCTTATGTACTGTAGGCAGGTGAGGTGCAGCAGTCGTAGGTGGTATCACATTTGACAAATCCACACGTGGAAGTAGGTCATGCCTGAAGGTTAGGCAAGTGAAGAATTCCTTGTATTAATATCCCAAGATGTTGCTGTGTCTGACAGGAATATAGGTAAATGGCTCAGAGAATCGACAAGTTGAATTAGACACATGTGCAACACATGGGTATTTTTAACGAGGAAACGTTTCACCACACAGTGGCTTCATCAGTCCTTTGGGCCTAAAACTGAACCTTGTGGAACGCTACTGGTGACTAACCCCCATGGAAACTGCTTTTTATTGTTAACCCATGTCTCTATCTATGCTAGAACTTAACCTCCTATACTATGAGCTGCTAATTTATTTAATAGTCTCTTGTGAGGTACTCTATCGAAAGCTTTACTAAAATCAAAATAAACAATATCTCCTGAACTCATGCTGAGATTCATTAATCAAATTATGCTCTTCAAGGTGACTTCTAATAATATCAGCTATAACTGATTCTAATAATTTGCCCACCATAGACGTCAGGCTTATTGGATGGTAATTTGATGGAATGGACTTATCCCTTGATTTGAATATAGGAATTACATTAGCTTCCTTCCACATACCTGGCACAATACCAGTAAGGATGGAAGCATTAAACACACTCGTTAATGGCTGACTAAGTTCCATTTTGCATTCCTTAAGTACCCTGGAAAACAACTCGTCGGGTCCCGGGGACTTATTTTGTTTCAGTTTGTCTATCTGTTTGATAACCATGTCCCTCGTGACAGTAATATTAGTTAATTTAAATTCATCAGGAACTAAATAATTGTTAATTTCTGGAATCTCATTTACGTCTTCTTGTGTAAAGACTGTCAAAAAAAAAATAATCATTAAGTAGAGAGCACATTTCCATTTCGTTATCCGTCAGCTGTCCTTTCCCAGTTTTTAGAGGTCCTACTTTTTCCGTCACCTTCGTCCTATACAAATGAAAGAATCCTTTTGGTTTAGTCTTTGATTCATTATCAGCTCTAATTTCATAGATATGATTAGCCTTTCTAATCCCTTTTTTACTTCTCTTTTAAACTGAACATATTGGTCAATAAGGTTAACCTCTCCTCTTCTGATGCACCTATAAATTCTTCTTGTCTCCCCTAATAGATTCTTTAGAGATCGTTATTATTTGATCTAATTTCTCTTTGAGGAATATATATACTCTGAGCACGTTGTACATTATTAAGAAAAAATCATAAACACAGATCCCTTTGTAATCGTAAGTATGATCATCATCAATAAAATCATTACCTAGAATACCCCAATCGAGATTAGACAGGTGTTTCCTAAGCCCAATATAATCGGCAGATCGAAAATCGGGAATTTTTACCGTATTATCCTTATTCTCGTACTCCCAGATAATATTCAAAGTAATGGATTTGTGATCACTGCTGCCAAGCTCTTCAGTGATCTGCTAATTATTTACAAGGATTTCTGTATTTGACAAGATTAGGTCGAGTAAATTATTACCTCTGGTAGGCTTTGTTACACACTGCTTCAGAAACAGTCCTGAACTACTTCCTTAAAGTTACTGGACTCTAGATTACCGGTCAAAGAAGTCTAGTCAATTTCACTAAAAATTAAAATCCCCTACTATCACTACTTTGTTGTGTCTAGAAACCCTAACAATTTCATCCCAAAGAAGTTTCCCTCTACTGTGATCCAAGTCGGTATATTACACCTAGAATTAGGTTTTCCCGACCTTCTAGAAACTCTGCCCAAACAGATTCTGTTACTGATCCATCTATTTTTATACCTGTTTTTATGCAACAATTCATATTTTCTCGTACATATAATGCAATTCCACTCCCTTTCCCTTTATGTCTGTCTACATGGAACAACTTAAACCCTTGAATATGACACTCAGCAATCATATCCCGACTTTAAATTATACCAGGTTTCAGTTACTGGAATGACATCAAAATTCCCAGCACACAATACCAAACGTAATTCAGTAATTTTATTTCTGGCTCTTTGACAGTTAATATAAAATACATTCATGTATTTTTTGTGAACCTTTTCTTTTACACATTCGTCCTCTTGATCTTCAACGTCAGAGGCATCCACAACACCGTATGCCCTCGGATGACGGTAAAACACCTAGCTTAGCTGGGTGAGTCATTCTTGTAGGATATGGTGGTACTGTGGGTTAGAGCATCATGCGGTTTTCGCTCACCATGAGGTGGGCGAAAACAACGTGGGTTTGAATCCTTGGCAAATCGTAGTGTTGTTATTGATTAATAACACTTATCTGTGGTTACAATAATATAAAATCCTGCTCGTTGGGCTAGTACGCCAAACAGGGAGAAGAATGAAATTAGCTCAGAGGCACTCACACCACCGTATGTCCTCAGATGACGGTAAAACACCTAGCTTGGTTGGGTGCATCATTCTTGTAGGATTTGGCAGTCATGTGGGTTAGAGCATCATGTAGTTTTCGCTCACCATGTGGCAGGCCTAAATATCAAACACGCTCACGCATGCCTGCTGGAAGTCCAAGCCCCTCGCACACAAAACCTCCTTTACCCCCTCCCTCCAACCTTACCTAGGCCGACCCCTACCCCGCCTTCCTTCCGCTACAGACTGATACACTCTTGAAGTCATTCTGTTTCGCTCCATTCTCTCTACATGTCCGAACCACCTCAACAACCCTTTCTCAGCCCTCTGGACAACAGTTTTGGTAATCCCGCACCTCCTCCTAACTTCCAAACTACGAATTTTCTGCATTATATCCACACCACACATTGCCCTCTGACGTGACATCTCCACTGCCTCCAGCCTTCTCCTCGCTGCAACATTCATCACCCATGTTTCACACCCATATAAGAGCGTTGGTAAAACTATACTCTCATACATTCCACTCTTTGCCTCCAAGGACAAAGTTCTTTGTCTCCACAGACTCCTAAGTGCACCACTCACCCATTTCCCCTCATCAGTTCTATGATTCACCTCATCTTTCATAGACCCTGACACGTCCACTCCCAAATATCTGAATACATTCACCTCCTCCATACTCTCTCCCTCCAATCTGATATTCAATCTTTCATCACCTAATCTTTTTGTTATCCTCATATATATATATATATATATATATATATATATATATATATATATATATATATATATATATATATATATATATATAATATATATATATATATATATATATATATATATATATATATATATATATATATATATATATAATATATATTGATCAATGCAGTTGAACCATCAATAAAGTTTACACTTGAACTCGAAAATGATGGCAAACTTCCTTTCCTCGACGTTCTACTGTGCAGATCTCCCGACAGTGACAAACTTCTTTTCAAAGTGTATAGAAAACCTACCAACAAGGACGATCTTATACACTTTTATTCACACCAAGATACCCGCACTAAGAGAGGAGTCCTCATTGGCTTCTTCTTGAGAGCTCTTCGCATCTCCAGCCCTTGTTTTCTAGAAGAAGAATGCACTTACATAACACAAGCCTTTACACGTCTTCAGTTCCCATCTTTCTTCATCCGAGATTGCAGACTCAAGGCACAAGCTATCCTCAACAAACCGCCCATGGAACAGCCCCCTAAACAGTTCATAGTACTCCCATGTGGCGATGTTGCCACGAATACTCGCCGGGCACTTGCTATGAGTAACATCAACGTTTTCCACCATAAACACATCCTCTATCAAAGACCTCACTACTAAACGCAGCCCCACACCTCTAACTTCTACAGCAGGCGTCTACACTATCCCCTCTGGGTTCTCTCCCAAGAAATATGTAGGCGAGACAGGCAGAGATCTTGCAGTCCGCCTGAATGAGCATCGAAATGCCTCTAACAGAGACGATGTAAGGTACGCCTGTGTCCTCCACAGAGACTCCACGGGGCATTTGATGAACTGGAACGAGGCACAACTCGTTCTCACACGAACAGACCTCAGACGCCGACGGTGCCTAGAAGCCTCACTAATCACCGTCACCGACACTATAGAACGCAACACTGGAAACTATAAAATTTCAAAAACATTGGCATACATGATACTTAAGCAGCACCAACCCAACAACACAGGAGTCACATGATTTCATCGTCTACCCGTCCTCATCATAGGCAGAGGTTGTTTTGATAAGGACCTGCCTCGCATGGGCCAGTAGGCCTTCTACAGTGTTCCTCCATTCTTATGTTCTTATGACATTCCTCAGGTCACGTGCGTCACATCTCACTCTCCGCCTATATATATAATGTCTTTCTACCTCTGTATGTTAGAAGTGATCAAGGTCCCAGGACCGAAACGTTTTCTAATAAATATGTTATAGTGTTTGCTTACGTGTCTTTCTAAACCAACTTGTCGGTATTTATTACCAAGATTTATACCATATATATACATAAATATATATATAATATATATATATATATATATATATATATATATATATATATATATATATATATATATATATATATATATATATATATATATATACATATATGCAAAACAACCACTGTGAAAGAATAGAGAAATTTCCAAGCGCTTTCGTGACTACTCACATTATCAAGGAACTATGAAAGTAAAGCATCCAAGGAAGCTATATAAGGGGTCTGGCCGGCACCTCACTATCAGATCCCACAACGGTTTAAACACCTGACGCGC